GAGGACTAAGGTGTACTTGACCCAAGTCATGGTATTTTCAATTGTCTTATATGCCTGGAATGAAAGAGGGAGCCCAAAGAACTGACGCCTTTGAATTATGGTCTTGGTGAAGAATATTGTATAAATTGGACTGCCAGAAGAACGAACAAATTGGTCCTGGACAAAGTACACTCAGAATGCTCATTTGAAGTGAAGATGCCGAGATTTCACTTCATGAACTTGGGGCATGTTACCAAGAGGGTGTGGTCATCATAGGACATCTTGCTTGGAAATGTAGAGGATCAATGAAAAAGAGAATGATCCTAAATGAGATGCATTGACACAGTGACTGTAAAACTGGGTACAAACATTGTGATGATTGTGAGTATGGTGCAGGACTGTGAAGTGTCTCATCCTGTTGTACGTAAGGTTACTTACTAGCAATTGCAAGGAACTTGATGGTAACTATCAACAACAAGCTTATGCTAAGAATTACCCATTTTCTGTGGTACTCACCATTTCTTTGCTGCAGATTCTGGAATTCTATGTGAATATTCTCTCCAAGACAAAGGAGTCACTGCAGTAGCGATGATTATGAGGAAAGCACAGAACTGTGTGATGTTTCATTCTGTTGTACATATGGTCGTTATGAATCGGAACCAACTCGACAACACCTAACAACAAATTTTTCTATTAACATGTTTTCTTCCTCAAGGTTTTTTTTTATTACTATTATTTTCCCCTCCCTTCATTCTTATCCAAGGCATCAGCAATCTCCAACCTTTTCAGAAACCTGAGAGGATTCTTCCAGAGATGTAGGTCGCCATCAAGATTATAACCTAAATGCCACCTTGTGACTAGAATTGGGATAGGTTTTCTTTGATTAATAATAAACTGTCTCTGGGAAAAGGGAACTTAAATTGTGCCTAAACCGCATGATTCAGTGTTGCTATAACAATACTTATACTTATGTAATCATATCCTGGTTGGTATTCTTATTCCTTGTTACTATAGAAAACATTATAACTAGGTAGAATAACAATGACCTAATGCAAAAAGTCCTATATAAACCATGTTGCTACAATAAACGTTGTCACTGGTCATCAGCCTGTGGCCCTTGCCTGATTTCAATCCTCACCTCTCCTTCGAGTAACCCACGCAGTGGTCTGAGCTGGTCTCAGACCCCCACATCTGGCGCACACGTGGCGGCTCGAATACAAGAGACAACGCGAAGGAACCTCCTGAGGAAATAGGAAGAAAAAGGACACGCGTGGACACATATAGAGTAGGAGGGCAATCTGATCAGGTAAGCATGGAGAATAAACTGGGAAAAGCACCGTATATAAATATTCTGAGAGAAACGCTGCGCAGCCGAGGTGTAAAAGTAGATCATTATCAACTTTGTAAATTTATTGATTTTGTACATACTGTTTGTCCTTGGTTCCCTGAGGATGGAGTAGCTGATGTTAAATTATGGAATCAGATAGGTCACCAATTGCAGGAATACTATGCTAAGAATGTCCCGTCCCAGGTGCCTGCAGATATGTTTAGTTTGTGGTGGCTTGTCAGGGATACTTTTGATTTTGGCAGTGATCATCTAGGAGGAAGTTCTCTGAAACCGACTGCTCCACTTCCACCCGTTCAACCTAATTTGAAATTTGTATATACTTTGAGTGTTAAAAAGGAAAGTGACTCTAATGGAGATGTTGTTTTGTGGCCAGACCCTCCGTCCTCCACCGTGCCTGCTGTTTATCCAGTTAGTAAAGAGACAGTTAAGGAAGAGGCGCACAGAATTGCTGATATCAATCAACAGCAAGGCCAAGGGGGGGGGGACACGTTTGATATGCTTGTGAGAGAAAGGAATTTTCAAACTTTGCAGAAACAAAATGAGTATCCTATGCCTGGCTACGCCCAAATTAACCAGTGTGGGCGTAAGGCATGGAAAAGTATTCCCAATATAGGGAAACAGACCAGTGAACTTTCAAAAGTTCGCCAGGATCCTTCTTGATGAGCCTTTTCAGGACTTTGTTTTTCGATTGCTTATTACAGCTGGTCACATCTTAGGCGACTCTCCTAATTTCTTAAGCCCGAAAGATCAGGCTGAGTTAAAAAAGAAAGCTGCCAAATTCCATTGGAGTTATTTAGACTTTCTCTTTCATGAAGAACCTCCTTGAATGAATACACCTCCCCATAACTCCACTAAAGGTGGTAACCTCCTACCCAGCAGTGTTGCAACTTTAATAATGAAAGGTAGGAGAAAAAGCCGAGAGTTATGTAGAAAAGATTTCTTTAAAATCATCAGTCATTCTACCCAAGACTAAATAACCATTTTTTTTTTTGCAGGACAATGCAGATTGGCAAATTGCCTTGGAAATTTTTTCGGGACAAACTCTATCCCACCTTCCCAGTAACCCCTTGCTTCAATTTATTAATAAACATTCTGTAGTTTTCTCTTTGCAGTTTCTCAATAAATATCTCCCTGAACCTGTTCATGCAGTTTTGGCCAACCGCTAAGCTTAACTCGTACTAGAGAAATTTCTAATATGCAACAAACCGCAGAAACTTTGGCACAGAAGACAGAACTTGATTGCTGTTATTTTTGCCGTTAATCTTCCGGTAACAAACCTCCCTTTATCTGCTTTCTAATTCTTATAGTCTACATGTGTTAGTTACTAATCAAGGGGCGAAGATAGAGTCTTCTTACAGGACACAAACCACCCCATATGAATTCCAGACCGACTAATTCGACTAATTCGGCAAAAAGACAGCCACTTCCCACTCCCCAAAGCATAGAAGCATTCACCAAAGAATCATCTGAAAGCGTGTCTCCACCAGCACCACCTCCAGGCTCCAAAAGCTAGGCTTTTGATTTCTCCCCTCCAACTTCTGTCTCTGCAAAATCAAGCAAGCTGCTTTAACCTAGGAACAATTGAAGTGATTAACGAAGCATGCTGTGAAAACTGTTAACTTTTAGGGAGCTAAGACAACTCCAGAAACTCTTTTTGTTGCTATGCGTGTAATTCTTGCTTGTCAGATATCAAGAATAACAGCTAACAACTTCACACATTAAGCTTACGTTCCTAATTTTGTAAATAATTCTCAATTGTTGGGAAGTCAATCAGAAGTCTTTATACTAAATTCCCTAAATAATTTTCTTGTAGCTTTGTTAAAAGAGGTGTAATCTACTCTCCTTCTAATTCTACTAGTTTAATTCATGATTGGTCTGTTTCATATTCTAGTTTTAATTATACAAATTATAATCTAACTCAGTCAGAATTAGAAGTTGGTTTATGCCACATTTTGTTGTTACCCCTTCCTCTTAATAATTCAAAATGATCTATACAAACTTTTTACTGACTTGAACATTTTTGAAGCAGTTTGGTAAATTAACCCTAAATCCTACTTAGTTACAGCTTTGTGTTGTTACACCATTTGCTATTTTGTACCCTAATCACCCTAATAATTTAACTATAACCCATGTTGGCTCTGTACATGATATACACTGTAAACATTGTTATGTGTTAATGCTTCATCTTCCCCTAATATTTTTATCACTGTAAGACATCCACCTTTTGTCATGTTACCTGTAAATCTGTCAAAACCCTGATATACTAATCCTGCTTTAGATACTTTAGAGACTGTATCCTCTTTGTTAAGTTGCCTCAAGCAATTTGTAGCTACTTTCATATTAGGAATAGTAGCCTTCATATCTATATTCGGTTCTAGAAGCTGTTCTCTACTTGGAGACACACATAGAAAATATTAAAACTACGATGACTACTGCATGTCATCATAATTACAAGTGAATATATGTAACACCTCTGTCCTACAATGGCACAGACATTACCTGGCCTCAAATTCAGGCTCA